TTATTGTCTGTAATTGCCTGTAATCTATGTAATGGGTTAGCTTCATCTGGATTATAGACAGATATAGCTGGGTATCATCAGCATAACAGTGAAATGAATCCCATGCTGTCTAATATATGACATCATGGGGATGTTCTGCAGGTGTGTTCCAGCTGACACTCTGCCATAATGACCTGATATCTTGTGCATAGACCCTGGAGGACTTCTGGGCTGCTGTATTACTCTGATTGTATGAATGTCATCCCTGACTGCGGTTTACCTCGGTGTATCATGACGGTATGACATTAGTATTTCCCTTTGGGAGAAGTTTTAGAGAATCTGACGGATGCCTTCAAACAAATCCAGTAAAAATCAGCTTAAACAAAGACGCCGCCTCAGGGTCCTGGTCAGTGAGGGTTTTCTTCCTGTCCATCATCAGCCGGACTGAAGCGCTGAACTGACAGTTATCCTGTTCCCAGGATCAACCTCATCTGAAGCTGCAGAAACACGATACGGGGGATCTACAGTGGTTTCCTGTTCCATTAGAAAGAGGGAAGAATGAAGTTCCTCCAGCGCTGCAGCAACGTTCTAAACTAATCCTGGTGTAAACTGAGGAAGTCAATTATTAGATCATTGATCGAAATGAAACGAAAAAACAGTTCTCCATAGAACGCAGTCTGTATCAGTAAAGCTACGGTCAGACGTGTTATTATGGAGCAACTCCACAGAAAATGAAAGGAATCTCAGCTCACTGTATAGATCTAGACCAACCAGATCATTCAGTCAAATTTAAGCTTTCTATCAAAGATAAACCAGCTGATTGCATCCAGTCATTGCAGGATTATCTCCTCCAAGATGAGCAGGTAGAGACAACAAGCAGTCATTTTTAACTTTGCAGTAATCCCTCACATGGAGCATGCACGCAGAGACAGTAGGAAGATACAACTCCCTTTGAACAGGAAGAAACCTCCAGCAGAAGCAGCTCCCTAATGGGAAAGTAACATGAGGAAAAGGAAAACCAAAAAAGTGATTTCTTCTTTTCCCTTTTCCAGCGTTTTATTGTCATTCCACTGTCCCAAGTACAGAGCAATGAAATTCTCTGCATTTAACCCCTCCCCTTGGGGAGCAGTGGGCTGCCATTGTGCAGCTCCCAGGGAGCAGTGGATTCCAGAACCCCTGCATTTCATGTGCAATGCCCTGGATCCACTAGGCCGCCACTCCCTTCTAACTTCTGTCTGCTCTCTGTTTTAATCTATGTAGATTTTTCTTCCTTCAA